CCGGGGGGCGGGGGGGGCTGGGGTATTATTAGGTGCATTGCCCCCAGCCAGGGGTGCAGCGCCAGGCCCTGCACAGACAATATCCCCTGGGCGGGTGCTGAGCTGGGAGTGGGACCCAGGTGTCCCGAGGGTCTGCGTGGCCCCTCTCTGTAGCTGGAGGTGGGGGGAGACATTGTCAGGACCCCCGGGTAGGGGCCCGTGTCAGCTCCCAGCTGGGGAGGACACAGCGGGATGCGGGAATGTGTAATGCAGCTGTCCCAAGCGGGGAAACTGAGGCATGCAGCAGGATGGGTGCCTGGAGGAGCAGGGCAGGGCAAGGCCCAGGGCTGAGACCTCCTAGGCTCCTTGCCAGGGATGGGGCTGATCCCCCTGCCCCGGGGGCCTCCCCTGCTCGCTCCCCTCCATCCACTCCCAGAGGCCCTGATCCACCGCAGTCTCATAACTAGCTGGGATTGAGCCCGGGTGTTTAAGCCGGGCAGGGTGCCAGGCGGGGCTTGGCAGGCCGCGGGCAGGCAAGAGCCGCAGGGGAGCCCGGGCCTGGATGCAGATGTTCTCCCCAGATAACAATACCCCCCGTTGTGTCCGTGCCGAGTGGCCCTGGGGCTGGGCACAAAGGGGTTCATTGTGCCCCCAGGGGTGGGTGGCTGCTGCCTGGGCTGGGCCCAGGCTGTGCGGCGGGTGTCTCTGGAGTGGAGAACACCCGGCTTTAACCCTCCATGTATCCTCCTAGCATTGAACCGGGGGCCAGGCTTTGCTAATGCGGCTAGCTCTGGGGTGGAACAGCGGGAAGGAATTTCCCTTCCTATTGCTGAATGAAGGAGAAAGGGGGGCTCCCCTGGGCCTGGCCCGTGAGTCTTGGGGTACCCAGCTCAGCCACAGCTTTGGTGCCCAGCTGGTACCCGCAAACCTGGGGCCTGGGAAGCACCAGGTGAGGGCATCACCCGGGCCCTGACCCTAACCGCATCTTCTCCTATTCATTACATAGAAAAAAGCTTTTAATTTGCTGCTCCTAATGGATGGCTCTGACAGGAGCAGGGTCAGCTCTAGTTACCCGGCTGCTACATCCCTGAAGCCGGGTGGCCAGGCCAGGAGTGAGCACGTGGCCTCGGGCACTCTGGGATCCGCAGTGACCCTGAGCCCGGGGCAAGGGGGCAGTGCTGGGTGTGGGTGGAGGGTTCCCCCCACGACCCGGAGCCCGATCCCAGGTGAGATGGGCCCTGGCCGGCCTTCGCCCCTCCTCTGGGTACAGCGGGCTGGGGCCGTGGTGAGGTGAGCTCAGCAGGCTGTGTTTCCTCCCTGGCCTGGCTGCTGCTTTTTTTGGCACGCGAGCAAGCATGCAGTCGCGGAGGAAGTAACCAGCTGCCTCGCCTGGCCTCTGCCCAGCCTGTCCCAGGGCTGCTGCCCCCAGCGCCACCACCCCAGAGCAGGATCCCACCTCTGGGTCAGGTCAGAAGGCATTGGGGGGCCCAGAGACCCCCTCCCCATCTCAGCTGGTGGGCCACCCCGCCCTAGGTTGGATTCAGGCCTGCCATCACCCCCCTACCCCAGGGCTGCTGCCCTAGCATCACTGCCCCGGAGCAGGATCCCACCCCTGAGTCAGGTCAGAGGGCATTGGGGGGCCCAGAGACCTTCTCTCCATCTCAGCTGGTGGCCCCCCAGCCCCAGGCTGAATGCAGGCCTGCCATCGCCCCCTGCCCCAGGGCCCCGCCCACGTGCCTCGTCCCCGCCCTTGAGCACGGTGACAGCTCCTTTGGGTCATGTGATCTCTTTCAACCAATCCCCTCCTACCCGCGGCCGCAGAGCGTCCGCCAGGGACGCGGCTCCCTGATGCCGCTGGCCCTTTAAAAGCGCTCGGAATGACGCCACCAGCTCCTCCTCGCCGCTGCGAGGGTAGACGCGGACCAATCCCAGCCTCCCAGGTGACAGCCCCCGTCCGGCCTCACGCGCTCTGGGCTGGCGGCCAATGAAAAAGCCGGCGGTGGTGATTGGCAGGGGGAGAGACCCAATCGCACGGCGCTCCGCGGCGGCGCGGGAGAGGCGGCGCGAGGCCCTGCCGGGACGGGCGGAAGCGGCG